TCAGCATCTCATTAAGGGTTAAACTAAGGTCACAAGACTCTGCCAGTTATCTTAACCTCGTCAAAAATCCTGGTACGGACTCCTCTAGTTCTCGAACTGTTGAGTAAAACCGATAGCATCTCAGAATTACAGGCAGCTTGGGGTCATAATATTCCCTAGCTAAATACGTCAACTCTTGAAAGGTTTTTGTATCTGGTGTCTCTGGGAAAGTAAGGCTCCTAATAACTGAAAAAGCTGTGGGTCCATATGCTGACAGGAGAATTGCTTGCTGCTTTTCATCTGCCCCAATGTCATTTGCCCGGAAAAATAACGTATTCCTTCCGCAAACTGCCCAGTCTTCACCTGCAGGACTGAATGAGTCAAGATTCCCAAATAACGGCATAATGCCAGAAATGCTTACCACAACTCAAAGACAACTGTTGTGATGCAAATTTCTTGAAGAGGGTATTTTTTCTCTCATCGCCACTGAAATAACTTTTCAGAGGCCGGTAGCCCATCACCAAGTCATCCTTTATGTACACATGCATTGTACTTGATGCGAGTCTGACTTTCTCAGAACCAGATCTCGGTGAGAACAGAACCTCTGACACATGTTTATATCTGTCTGCTAGGGATCCCTGATTGGACCAGGTTAACAGCCATAATCAGGGAACTCATATTCTGTGAGGTTTACCTGGCTGACCGCACTATGTTGACATGCCAAGTAAACTGGGCCTACACTCTCTGAAATTTAAAAGAACGAGAGGCAATCTCACTGAACAATACACAATTCTGAAAGGGGTTGATCATCAAAAACTCTGTCATTTCATTTAAATCCTTACTATTGATCATAAACAGCTGACAGTTGTTGCCCTTGGTGGGGGAATCTAGAACATAAAGCACAGACTCAAGATAAGGTGTAGATAATTAGGAGATGAGGAGAAACGTTTTGTAATATTTTACCCCCAAGAGTGTGGGTGCTTCGACATCAAACATATTTCAGACTGAGATAGACAGAATCTTGATCTTGCAGGAAAAATAGATTTAGAAAGTGGATGGGAAAGTGGAGTTGAAGCCAAAGATCAGCCATAATCATAATTATTGGTAGACAGGCACGATGGGCTGGTAGTCTACTCCTGTTTCCTCTCATACACATGGAGACTAAATGGAACTGCTGCTTCTCATTCATCTGTTTGTTACGTTTATGCCGACATCTGTTTCCAGAACTTTGCTTTTATTTCGAATTTTCAAATTATGATTTTGCAAGTAGAAATTTGAACAGCAGCAGAAATGATAGAAATGGATGCCAAATAAAAGGAAGATTCAACATCAGCCTGGCTGCCAATGGGCAGGGGACTTCAAGTTCCTATGCATTAAACTGGTTACATATGGACCTTTTAAGGGACCCATGGAGAACCAGTTATTGCCAAAGGAAAACCAGAAGTGAGGGAATCCATCTCAACGGACCCCAGAGTTTAAAAACCAGGCGGGAAAACACACCGACGCTTCATCGGAGGCTGCACTGAGGATGTTACCAAGCATGGCAACGAAACGGCTGCAAAACAACAAACCAGCTCAGCGAGCCAACCAACCTCAAAACATGATGTATTTTGCCATATGGATAAAACAGGTGTGTTCCTTAACATTGTTGCAATTTTCTGATTGGATAAACTTTCAGCATGAAATGTCAGAGGGACAAGCAAGAGATATAGGGATTGATCCTGTTCCTCAAACTTTTCCAATGCAGTGGCTATTCTGTGATACACATTTTGCATGCACCAGAATCCAGCAGCATTTCTGGTTTCAGTTCATTTAAATGCTGTCAGTGAGCATTTGACAGGATCGCTGCCTTGGATGTCATGCTCATTAACAAAACAGCAACTGCAAAGTTTTTTTTGCAGTAGTCTAAAAATGAAATGGAATTTCTGCCTAACAACTGCTACTTCTGCAAGGAAGCAAACTGCTGCCAATGACAGGGTGTTAAATGACTCTAAAGATTAATAACACAATACAGTCAGAGTCATATAGCACGGAAACAGGCCCTTTGGTCCAACCAGTCCATGCCGAACATAATCTCAAACTAAACTACTCCCACCTGCCTGCTCCTGGTCCATATCCCTTCAAATCTTTCCTATTCATGTATCCATCCAAATGTCTTTTAAATGTAATTATATCCGCATCCACCACTTCCTCAGGCAGTTTATTCCACACATGAATCACACTAAAAAATTTGTCTTATGTCTTTTTAAAATTTCTCTCCTCTCACCTTAAAAATGTGTCCCCTAGTCTTGAAATTCCCCATCTTAGGGAAAAGACAACTACCATCAACCCTATCTATACCTCTCATTATTTTATAAACTTCTTTCAGGTCACCTCTCAAACTCCTACACTCCAGTGAAAAAAGTCCCAGGCTATCCAGCCTTTCTTAAATAATTCAAACCTTCCATACCCTCTCCAGCTTGATAATATCCTTCCTATAACTGGGCAACCAGAACTGGACACAATATTCCAGAAGAGGCCTCACCAATATCCTGTACAACTTCAACATTATGACCCAACTCCTATACTCAAGGACTGCACAATGAAGGCAAGTGTGCCAAGCACCTTTTTAACCACCCTGTCTATGTGTGATGCAGACTTTAAAGAATTATATACCTTCACCCCTAGGTCCCTCTGTTCTACAACACTACTCAAGGCCCTACCATTAATGCATAAGCCCTACCCTTGTCTGACGCACCAAAATGCAATATCTCACATGTATCCAGATTGAACTCCATCTTCCATTTTTCAGCCCATCGACCAATTTGATCAAGATCCCTTTGTAATCTTAGAAAACCTTCTTCACTGTCTACTATGTCACCAAGTTTGGTGTCATCCGCAAACATACTAAATCATGCCTTCTATATTCTGATCCAAATCATTTATATAATGACAAACAAAAGAGGGCCCAGAACCGATCCCTGTGGAACACCCATGGTCATAGGCCTCCGGTCTGAATAGCAATCCTCCACCATTACTCTCTGAATCCTGCCATTACCCAATTATGTATTCAATTGGCAAGCTCACCGTGAAGCCCATGTGATGTAACTTTATTAATTAGTCTACCATGCAGAACCTTGTCAAAGGCTTTACTAAAATCCAAATAAACAATGTCTACTGTTCTGCCATCAATCTTTTTGATAATTTCCTCACAAAACTCAATCAAGTTTGTGAGACACTACTTTTCTCTGACAAAACCATGCTGACTATCCCTAATCAATTTTTGCCTCTCTAAATGCTCATAAATCCTATCTTTTATAATCACCTCCAACAATTTACCCACAATTGAAATCACACTCACAGGTCTATGGTTCCCCGGTGTCTCCTTACTATGTTTCTTAAACAAAAGGTACAATATTAACCACCCTCCAGTCATCAGGCACCTCACCCATAATTATGGATGATGCAAATATTTCTGCAAGGGTCTCGTAATTTCCTCCCTTACTTCCCACAACATTTTGGGATACATTAGATCAGGTCTTGGGAGATTTATTCACCTTTATATTCTCAAAGACCTCCTGAACATCCTCTTCTGTAATATGACCTGTTTCTAAAACAAAGTTTATTTCTCTGCATTCTCTAGACTCCAATTCTTTCTCCACAGCAAAATCTGATGTGAAATATTCATTTAGTATCTCTCCCATCTCCTGGGGTTCAAAACAAAGACGACCTCCTTGATCTGTAAGAAGCCCTACCCTCTCTCTAGTTACCCTCTTGCTCTTAATGTATTTGTAGAATCTGTTTGGAATATCCTTAACCTTATTTGCCAATGCTATCTCATATCCCTTGTGTACATTCCTGATTTTTCTCTTAAGAAGATTCAATTGAACCCAGTTGTATATACCTTAAAAAAATCCTCTTTATTCTTGACTAGAACCTCAGTATTTTTATTCATCCATAGTTCCTTAATCTTACCAGCCTTACCCTTCACTCTATCAGGAACAAAATGCCTCTGAACTATCATCATCACCACATTCTTGAATGCCTCCCACTTGTCAGATGTACTTTTACCTGCGAATAGTACTCCAATCAATGTTTGAAAGTTACGTCTCATAGCTCGAAAATTTGCCTTCCTCCAAATAAAACTTTTATGGAAGGCTTATCCTTTACTGTACCATTTTGGAACTAATAGAATTGTGATCAAACCCTAGTTAATGCTCCAAAATCAAGGTTGCTAGCTGTGCCTTTAAAGATCCTTTCATCTCAAAGCACAACCCAGAAACTCCATATTCATTTCTATGAGAATTCTTTAATCGCCACATTCACACTTCTTGACAGAGCTGAAAAATTACACACAAAGTTTATCATCATTACTTCTCTCAATTCAATTCACGTTCTCCCCTTGCTCAGGACAGGCCTTCATGCATCCGTGTACTTAGTCACCACCGCACCCAGTCATATGTATGAAGGCTAAAGCCCCAGCATAATGGAGCTCTGGCATTTTTTTCTGTTTGTAATAGAAAAGGAAAATCAACCCTATTTTGGAACTACAAATCATTTCTGTTGTTTGTAGATTTATTGCAAATCATGTTTCTACACATGGAATATTTACATAAATGAAGGGGGTAACCAGACAAATGTTTGCAGCCAAGAATGTGGCTGTTTTCCTTTTCTTACAACAGAGGTAGAAGGGGCTATTCTCAATCACTAATTACCACTGTACCTAAGAATCAACTGTCCAGCACAAAGAGAGGTATCAAACTATGACTGTGTTTGTATTTTCCGGTCTACTCTTTCAATAAATCAAGTGAAAAGTTGGAAGCTTTTGTTCAACAGATTTTGAGGGATTATGAAAGGACATATGATTATTGCAAATAACAAACTGTGTGTATATACAGGAATAAACAAATTGAGCAATTTTACAATAAATTTTTCTAGAATCACTGGAAGATAGATATAATCCAGGATTCAAACAAGAGGTCAAAATGAAAAAATTTCATATTAGAATGCTGAAAATACAATAACTGTCAACCAAAACTCACTAGAGAAGCTCTGCGGGATCTTCTACTCATAGGCTGATCAAAAGGTGGACTGCTCATCTGCAGTTTTTCCAAATATCCATCAGGTAATCTAATATCTGCAGGCAGTGACAACCTTTTATTGACATCCTGAAAGTAGGAAAAGAAAACAAATCATTGGTCTAAACTTCCAGCAAGCCATCCAAATTCAGAGTCACAACCCCATCATACCTAAACAGCTTAGCAATTATTTTTCTATCTATCCACCCTACAGACCCAAAGGATCTATTTTCAGCCCTTTCTCTTTCTCAGCTACATGCTGACCCTTTGGTGAAATCACCTATAAACTTCAGCAGTTAATGATTGGTCAGCTTTTCCAGGAGTTTGACAAAGTTAAAATGACCAGTGATATAATTTTAAGGCAGGAATGTGTGTGAATTGGGAGTGAGATTTGTAGGTTGTGATATTTTCATGTGCCTGATGGTCATGAGTTTGGAAAGTGCTATCAAAGGTTGGTGAATTACCACAGTGCATCTTATACATGTTGTATGGTGTCATCCTGTGCACTGGCAATGGAAATCAAAAGACACCCATCAAAAGAGTTTGTTTGTCCTGGATGGAGCCGAGTTTCGACAGTTGCTGGAACAGAAGTGAAGATTTCTCCATCAAGTTCTTGACTTTTGCTTTATAAATGGTGCACATATTTTGGAGAATCTGGATGAAAGTTACTTGCCATAGGCTGCCCAGTTATTCATTCTTAAAATATGAACATCACTGCCAAGATTAACATTTTCAGTTCATTCTTAATTGTCCTTAGAAAGTTGGTGGTGAGCCACATTCTTGAACCACTGCAGTATTTGCGGCGTAGTTACACTCGGCACTGTTTGGAATTGAGTTCCATGAATTTGGTTCAGTGACAATATATTTTGAAAGGCAATATAGTTCAAAGTTAGGATTGTGTGGGGCTTGTCTGGGAACTTGCAGGTGGTGGTGTTCCCATTTGCCTCCTATACACTTTCTTTTATGTGGTACAGATCACAGATTTGAAAGTTATTACCTGGAGGGTTGTTGTTGTGCATTTTGCACATGATAATGCACTGATGCCTCGATGTTAGCATGATTAATACTTTGGGTGGTGGAGGGAGTGCCAATCAAGTGCAGCAATATCCTGGATGATATCAAACTTCTTGTGTCATGTTGGAGCTGGACTCATCTAGGAAAGCAGGGAGTATTCCACTGTGCGCCTGACTTAAGGCTTGTAGGTGCTAGACAGGCTTTGAGAGAGGAATTATTCACTGCAGAAATCTTAGCCTCTGACTTGTTTGTTTTTGGGTGACAGTATTTATGTCACTGGCCCAGTTAAGCTTTTAGAGTCAGACTCATACAACATGGAAACAGACCCTTCATCCAACCAGTCCATGCCGATCATAAACCCAAACTAAACTAGTTCCACATGCCTGCGCTTGGCCTACATCCCTCCAAACATTTCTTATTCATATACTTATCCAAATGTCTTTTAAACATTGCAACTGTATCCACATCCACCACATCTTCTGGAAGAGGACTGATGAGGGCAGAGTGGTGGATGTGATCTATATGGATTTCAGTAAGGCATTCAACAAGGTTCCTTATGGTGGACTGTCTAGCAAGGCTAGATCACACGGAACACAAGGAGAATTAGCTATTTGGATAGAGAAGTGGCTCAAAGGTAGAAGACAGAAGGTGGTGGTGGAGGGCTGCTTTTCAGTCTAGAGGCCTGTGACCAGCAGTGCACCACAAGGATCGGTGCTGGGTCCACTAGCTTTTGTCATTTATACAATGATTTGGATGTGAACATAGGATGTATGGGTAGTAAGTTTGCAGATGACACTAAAAGTTGGAAGTGTAGTGGACGGCAAAGGTGGTTAATTCAGAATACAAAAGGATCTTGATCAGATGGGCCAATGGGTCAAGAAGTGGCAGATGGAGTTTAATTTAGATAAATACGAGATGTTGCATTTTGGTAAGGCAAATCAGGACATGACTTATAGACTTAATGCTAAGGTCCTGGGCACTGTTGCTGTGGGGCAGGATGCAGTGGGGATGAAAAATCTGTCAAAGCCAGTGCCTGATGACAGCATGATTGATGACAACCAGAATGAGCAATGGATGGAGGTTGGAGGGCCCGAAGCGAAGAAACCAAAGACTGAAGATCAAGCCCTACTCCCGGAGAATGAAGACCAGGTTGTCCGTCGACCGTGGACACAGCAGCATCTGGTGGTGGCAGATATCCGTTTAACGCCGTCCCTGGCCTTAACCCCACCTCAAGTGGAGCAGGATGCTGAAAGCATGGACGTCAATGTTAGAGGTCCAGATGGTTTTACACCACTTATTTTGGCGTCACTACAAGGTGGCGGGCTGGACACTGGAATTGAGGAGGAGGAAGATACCAAGGACAAAGAGACCTTGGAGTGGAGTTTCATAGTTCCTTGGAAGTGGGATAGTGAAGGTGGTGCTCGGTATGCTTACCTTTATTTGTTAGTGCATTAAGTATAGGAGTTGGGAGGTCATGTTGCAGCTGTACAGGACATTAGTTTGGCCACATTTGGAATACTGTGTGCAATTCTGGTCTCTCTCCTATAGGGAACGATGTTGTGAAACTAGAGGGTTCAGAAAAGTTTCCGGGAATGTTGCCAGGGTTGGACGGTTTGAGCTATGGGGAGAGGCTATTTCCCTGGAGCATCAGAGGTGAAGCGGTGACCTTATAGAGGTTTATAAAATCATGAGGGGCACGGATAGGGTAAATAAGCAAGGTCTTTTTCCCGGGGTGGGAAAGTCCAAAACTAGAGGGCATAGGTTTAAGGTGAGAAAGGAAAGATATAAAAGGGACCTAAGGGGCAACTTTTTCACGCAAAGGGTGGTGCATGTATGGACTGAGCAGCCAGAGAAAGTGGTGGAGGCTGGTATGATTACAACATTTAAAAGGCATCTGGACAGGTATATGAATGGGAAGAGTTTAGGGGAATATGGGCCAAATACTAGCAAACAAGACTAGATTTATATTGGATATCTGGTCAGCATGGATGAGTTGGACCAAAAGGTCTGTTTCTGTGTTGTATGACTCCAAGTTCATTCCACATATGAACCACCCTGTGTGTAAAAAAAGTTGCCCCTCGTGTCATTTTGCGATGATGAAGCAGGTGAAAATGTTCGGGCCTTGAACACAGTCCTAAGGAAATCCTGCAGTGATGTCCTGGGGTTGAAATGATTGGCAGTCAAAACCACACATGACTAACTACAGGAGAGATTTTCCCAAATCTCACTGACTTTCAATTTTACTGAAGCACTTTGATGCCATGTACTGAGCCAATTGTAGCCTTGATGTCAAGGCAGTCGTTCTCACCTCATCTCCAGTGTTCAGCTCTTTTATCAAATTTTGCTCCAAAAGTGTACTGAGGTCAAATGTCAAATGGTCCTGGTGGAAGCTAAATTTAATTTCAGTGGCAGGTTACTGCTAAGTATCAGATAGTGTTGTAGAAATTAGGGACCCTGGACTCATGTAAAAATGTCATAGGATGCTATAAATGGGGGGAGAGAGAAGCTGATGGATGGATGAATTCAGGTGGGCCCTAGCTATGTTGTTCTTATAACTAACTCCATTTCCGGCATCATCTCTTTCGTGGAAGGAGAAAAACAAATATCACAAGCCTACAGTTTAAGTTAAAATTAACCACATGAGGGCAGTAAAGACTCCTCCTGAACAGTTAGCACGTGCACCTCTACAGCTAAAGAAATCGATTCAAATATGCGCATAATTAACTTGCAGACAATTGAACAAATACATTCATGTTTACTACCATCTCGAATTGTTAAAGGAACCAATTATGCTAAATTTCTTTACACATATTTAAGCCATCATTTTTGTTCTACAATCCAGTACTAAAACTGGAACTAATGTAATACGAAACATTATACAGATATGAAAAATAAATGTAGAAGTTATAAAATGGCTTATTTAATTTTGAAATTAACGATATTTCCTCCATGTTGGGGGGGGCCCAGGTCCTCCATCAACAGTCTCAGGATTGATCTAAATATTTCACTCGGACCTTGAAGTACAAGGAATTGTGAAGAGTAGGATTTATTCTGCTGTTTCAGCAAGGTATAGGTGTATGAGAGTATTTTCTGTAGCAAAACATCCAGTGTGTAATATGACAATGAGGAAGGAAAAGGATTCGGGAATTATTACTTATATAAACATTCTGTGTGCACGAGAGAGATGCATTACTAATTGTGTGGCAACCACAGATCCTCAGATGTGCAATGCATCATTTGATTGGTATGTCTGTATTTCTGTGTTTGCAGTGTTTATCCATTTTTTCTGACTAATGTGATTAGGTATTTTGTGAATCGAAGACTGTGTTGAAGGACTATTATTTATTATTTGAGAACTTTGTTTCAAACATTTTCAAGAATGCATGTGGGTTACTATTACAAATAAATGAAGGTATACTGGCAATCCCCTATTGCAGTGGGCAAGTGTTAAACTAAGTAAGAAACAGTGTTGAGATAGCAAGGTGTAGAGCTGGATGAACACAGCAGGCCAAGCA